ATATTTGTCATACAACAAGTGACACGTACCTCACGTGACTCACTACACTATAAAAGAAAAATAACATCGGCCCTTTAGAAACTCTTCAAGAGAGTTGCAGCAAAATCAACAGATTCATTAAGACTCACAGGGAAACATACTGAGCAGGTAAAACCTACAAGCATTCTAGTACCACGTCTTTAAAGCCACAGCGCTCCAGACAGGGGATTAGAATATTATGGTCAACTTTTATATCCAACTGTAATTTTTAAAGGGACATAAAGACATAAAGAAATAAGAAATTAAGAGTTTCTGTAGTTAAGAAAGATCAACAGCATTTAAAAATACTGTTTCTGTGCTGTTAATTACTTTAAAATCGGACTAAACCATTCTCAGATACTCTGTTTGCTCTTGCTGTGTCACTTTGACTTATTTTGTTTTGTCTTGAACTTTATGAGCATCTGTTTGTGTAAGAAAAATGGATACTTTTTAAGAGTGGATTCAACCTGCTGGTCTGCTGCTTGCATTTGTGTCCTTCCATTTCACCTTGTGACTGCTTATCTTAGCATATCTTTATGCTAATTAGGCCAATTTATCCAAGGTCACTTCCGTCATGCCGACTAGATTTTGTCAATTAAGGGATAAAGGGAGTTTAAGCTTTAGCAGGAAGTCTGTGTTCTGCTCTTACTGGTTTATGGTTTCATTATTTGTCCAAATACTTTTATAAAAACCCCATGTGACATAACAATGTCCAACTACTTCATCAGTCATATTTATCTAAAATATATTCTTCTTAGAAAAAGAAACCATGATATTCCAAAACCACATTCTTTAGGTAATGTAATCTTCCAGAGGGACTCCAGATGTTTTAATTAAAGTGCTATGTGTTGTCATCATTGTATGTTTCTATACAATGATGAAATTAGTTCTCTGCATTGAACCCATCACACGTGAGATACACCCAGGTGGCGCAGCGGGCAGCTAGTATTCTTTAGTTGCAGATGTTATAGAGGGCTTGTACATTTGAAGTGCACAGCAATGTGTTGCACCCTATGCAAGAGGAGCTTCAGAAACAGGATAGTAGCATTTTTAACAGACCACTGTTGGTGACAAAATACATGAGAGTTGGCAGGAGCAGGAGAACTAACTTAAACACTGAAGAACAGCTTCTAAAACTCGATTGTTTAATTAGACAATCGATTGGATATAAATGGAACACCAGGACTGTTTGTGAGAAAGGGCAGATGAGACCTTACTTCTTGCAAAAGATTGTGGTCTTCCAGAGTTTGCAGCCAAATATTGTAGTTTTTCTTTAAGTCTTTGTTGGAGAAAACACATTTCTTTGCAGTCATATGTTGGTGCAATGACAGTAGAGCAAGTAGCTCGAAATAACTGAGCAAACAGAACAGCTCCCGGGCATCATGCTGCAGGTATTTTAACTTTAAGGGCTGTGGTTCTGCTCCTGTAACGAGCCTCATGCTTACCCAAGGACAAACCCAGGTACAGTACACTTAAAATGCAATACTTTTTGATTCTCATTGATATACCAATAAGTATATCAGGGCATATCTACTTAGACGCTGCAGGACGGGTGACTCAAACCCCAAACCCTGTGATTTGAAGGCAAACACACTGACCTAGAAATGTCTATACTTGCTTATGTTCATGTATAAATGTATTATTAAAGACTGTTTTTATAGTTCTCCTCTCTTTAAGCGCATAAAGCCGGCGTGCAATAAAACGTGCTATGTAAATAAAATGGCTGTGAAGGCTTCTGCTCTGGAGTCTGATAGCAGACTGTTGCACAAGCTGCTCAAACCCTGCACACACTCTGCACAAGTACAGGTCTCGCCGTATAAATTAAAAGCCCAATGTAATCTTTAAGGCCATCTAATGTTGGGAAATGACAAAGTTGTTGCTGTTTTGCTCAAACCTACATTAGGCTCGTGATACTGCAAGATGTCAAGCTCAATATGTGTTATGAGGAAGGACGAACCTACAGACAGACTTACGTCTGTATGCTCGGATGAAGAAAGTGTTTGGTCAGATGACATTTTTGACAGGCGTTGTTGGTGGACACCCAAATAAAAGAGAGGAAGTTCAAAAAAAAGAGCTGGATCACAAATCATGGACGTTTTGCCTATTTGGGAACCTGGTCAAGACTTCACCCTCCTCTGTGTGAGCTGGATCTGGGTTCTCTGGTGAAGACTGGGACCACTTCATTGCTGTGCTATGTGTCAGTGTTGCTTGCAGATGATTATAATGAAGAGTCAAATGATGAAAAGTTTCAGATCTCACAGACATTGTTGGTGCGATGAATGGAACTTAGCAAAAGTCAGTGCTGAGGTAAGAAAAACATTTTCAATTATATGATTTTGGATCTTAAAGGATATGGATACGTCTTTTGTGCATCTCTGACTCATCAAATAAAAACAGTTATACCTTTGACAAATCCAATTCTGCGACCCTTGGGTCCAAATGACTCGCAAGGCCTTTTGTCCAAGGGCAGCAGGAGAGTTAAGATGTTAAATAACTGTGGGTGCTAATGGAAGAGTAGACAAATGGAAACAAATCTCCTGAGCAAACATCAGCTGCTTCAATTTTCTGATTCACAAAATAACAAATCACAACTACTTTTATCCACAACAGCTTTCAGAATATTCACAATCTCTCTAAAAAGCCCCACAGAATCCCACAGCTCTGTCATATTTCTTGCTGTTGATCCTTTGCTGCCACCCTCTGAAATATTGCAGTAATTTGATGCAAGTGGTTGAAAACTCAAGGCTTTTTACATATTTACACAACTATCTGTGTGTAAGGTAGAAAAGAATAAAAACTGATAGATGATTTTGACACAATGCACACAAGTTAAAATATGATGCACAACTGTTTGATCAGATTAGTTTAGTCTAAAAGTCCTGATTTGTTGTCAGTGAAACATTAAATGGGCTTCTTTCGTGAACACATTCTATTTACCAATACACCACAAACATTATTTTGTTCAGTCTTTAGAGCAATTTTTTAAAACTAAAAATAAATTTAATATTTACTGCTTTTTATAACAGAGTTTTAAACTAAAAGCACTTAATGCTGAGAAGTGACGGAGTTGGATCAAACCTTGATGTTAAATACAGTTTCATTTGACATTGCATTATCTATTAGTGCTCAAAGTGTTGTAAATGATCACATCTACCACAACAAATTTTAACAATGTTTTTAAATCTATAGACATTTTTGTGTTGGATAAGGTTTATTAGTTGTGGCTGTCATCTTAATTTGGACTGACTTAAAAAGTTATTTATTTATAGATGTACATTTAATGATTATTTACTGAGTTTCATCAAAATCTGTCAAGTGGTTCTTGAGATATTTTGCTAATAGACAGACTAAGGCTACCATGGCAACAAAAACATGCATAACATAAGCTTGAAATTTATGCCTTCAATGAAAGTGATTAGTTTTGATTTGCCATAAATGGTAACAAAGAAGCACAATCATAATGTAATATTTAAATGTCCAGCTTCCTGTTAGCAGTTAGAGTCAAAAATGGTCATTTTAGTCCTTTTTTGTAAGTGAATTGTAGGTGTTTTAGTGATTATTTTGCCTTTTATATCTATATTTAGAATTCAAAAAGTTAATACATAAGTTAATTCCTTATGCACTAAATCCCGAGCAACATGATGAAGCACTAAAAATTGAAATACACCATGAAAACATTAAATTGTTCAACATAAAGAAAACTAATTATAATGTTGGGCGTGATAAGATAAATGGAGAGTCAGTAAAAATGATTAAAAACACAATTCTTGTACAGATTGATAGAATTTACAAGCAAAAAGTGTCACATAATATTTAAACATTTACCTATAATGTATTAATAGCAAATATATTGTCCTAAAATTGGATGCTCTGTGTAAATCTCCTGTTTACTGCTAAAATAAACAAAATCATGTTTTGACTCATTCTGTACGTAAATCACCCGCAAAGCGAAGCAGACAATTTTGACCCTTGAAGCACGCCGTTGTTTCTGGAAAGCCGATAGGTTACCACGCAACACCTGCCAGACAGTCATTTATCAGTCTGCAAATATTATTAATTCGAGTCAGCAGACACACGAAGGTTAACGTGTTTTTATTTGTGGCCACGTTTTAGCTCAGTGTGTGTCGCAACAAGCGTCCATTCGTGTTATTCACCTCTCATGCTAGCAAGCTAGCGCGCAGTAGCAGCTAGCTTACAGGCAGCATTGTTAGGAAAATCCAAATAACGCAGTCAAAGCTGGGTTAAAGGAAGGTGGCGCTACAACTGACGAGCCAGTGACCGAAAACTAAAGGCTTTAATTCAAGAATGAATGTCGCTAAAAGTGGATACCGCGTCTTTTCCGCCAATTCCTCCGCAGCGTGCACAGAACTGGCTAAGAAGATAACTGAGTGAGTTCTGCTGTAAACCTGTGTTTGCTCACCTGTGACAATCAAAGCCACCGCAGTAACTACGGTGGAACATGCTCAAGTGGTTTGAAACCGACAGTGATTTATAAATAATAATAATAAAAAAAAAGCTTTAACACATCCACTGTACAGAAAACCTGCAAATATAAAACTGATGTTCTTGATTGCAGGAGACTGGGAGTTGAACTGGGGAAGTCTGTGGTTTTTCAAGAATCCAACAGAGGTAGGAGGGTTATATATAAATATAAATATACAATTAAGGTTTGACTCGCACATATTAGTGTGAGATGTTTCTGACAATGTATTATAGT